AATTGTTTCTGGCACAAACGGGCATCTGTGTATGTAATGAGTGACGTTTCGTAGGCTATCTTGATAGGATCGTACATACACGTTCCACACACAATTACATCATATTCATACCATAGGCAAAATTAAATGCACGTTTCCTATTGTAACAATATGAAACCCCAGAAAAAAACCTATGAACTAGCTTCTGAATGTGGCATTTCTATCGTTATTTCATAAAAGCACCCCCCCCCTCCCTCCCAAAAAAAAAGAATGAATACATCAATGGGCATGCTCTGAGTGTTGGTATTTATTACCTGCACTCCAGTTACGCACTGTGCATGTATATGAATTCGATTTAACTCTGACACGTTTTCAACAAAAAAGTCTTCAAACTATGATACAATAAATGTTTATGATTCTATTAGAAACTTGTTTAGAATTTAATGATTTTTTTGGTGAAAACGATATAGTTTACTTGTACTACAGATAAGATCAAAGTGCTGAAGGCACTGAAGAAAAAAACGGATAAACTATCACATTTTCACTCCAGTTTCACAGGTAAATTAATTTTATATGTCGCGGTTTACATCTAAATATCAGCTAACCTTTGCTTTTTGAGACTTTTGTTTTTGAAAAATAATCTAAACGAGTAAAATAAATCCTCTTTTATAGGCAAATAATTTAATAAGTAGCATCCCCGATTTCTCTTTCATAAATTGGCTTTAACAAATTCTTTTTCTATTCAAATATTAAGAACATTCTGTCAGTGACGTGTCCTCTACTTGAAATCTTCCTGGTGTGTTTTTTTTCGGTAACAGGAAGAAAATGACAGTCTGTTCGTATCATTCGGTAACAGGAAGAAAATGACAGTCTGTTCATTTGATCTTGACTGTGAAAAATCATATTTTGTGAACCAATTTATCCTGCCGATAAAGATTTTGCAAGCAATCTGGTGGTTTATGTTCTAGTGCTTACACTTAATTTTTAATTCCAAAGAACATTTCTTAGGAGACCTTTAACGTTTGATTACGGTATAATCACTATAATCGAAAATACTTAGGAATTAATTTTAATTCCTGTTACTGTGAAATTTTTCGTTCACGTGTTTAAAATACTTAAGTAGCTCTAAAATTTTCAAAACGATATCCAGTATTTCCGAAACAATTTACAAAGGCTTTTAATACACAATCTTATAAATTTTTAAAGTATTACGAGAACCACCCATTTAATCTCCAGAAATACATACGAAAAACAAGATAAATCAAAAGGCTGCAAGCTCTGTGGTATTTTCTGATCTTTGCAATATAAATCGCACTGTACAACTGTATTATTTTCCTGTATAAGTTTATTCTTATGTACTATAATTCTTCTTCTTGCTTGGTACCAGAGATTGAAACATTTTGCATGACTAGAGTTGCATCAAAAATCATTTATGTTCATTTTTATGACAGCCACACTTTATCCTTGCATATCGTGGCTATTTCCTTAACAAAGAAACTTTATAAAAATAATTGCCTTGAATTGGATTTGAACCCCAGACACACTAAACGAGCGCGTTACCCTTGCACCACGGAGAAGATATACGAACAATGCCTGAATAAAATCAAGTAATACTAAATTTAGATTTTTCACTGCATTTCGGGTTAATTTCGAGGTTTTTTGTTCAAGATAAACCTGTTCTTTAACATTGATGTAAATAATTTAACAAAAATATTCTCGCCAAAACAGTCCGACATGTATATATTCCACTACTCGACAGTCAGATTTATTTGTGAAATTGAATGAGATTGAATGTTAGCTTTGTATTTCCTAATCTTCGATCAGAAATACAAAAAGGAATGGTAACATTCAATGAATACAACACCCACACGACCAAGCAAAACAGGACCACAGCTAAATTATCAATGAAAACATTAATTTCAGGCTTTCAAGTGGTAAATAAAAAGAATAAACAACAAAAATGAAAAACAGGAAGAAAGAAGAGACAAAAGTAGAGAAAAGTAAAGGTTTTCGTGCTATAAAGAAAGAAAAGCAGCGTTTCTCTCCCTAATTTATTTATGCAATGAAATGCATCCGATCAATATTTAGTCATTGTAGTTTTTTTGAAACCAGTCACTCGTGTTTTCAAAATAGTCGGGAAATGAACCCGACTTTTTTTATCAAAAACATTTACAAAACTATTAACAATGAGTATGCCATGATAAACAGGCTATAAGGAGTAAAAACAATGGTTTATATATGCATTGCCCTTTACGTCTAGGAGTTGGAAGTATTATAAAACATAGTTTAAGCAATGGTTGTTGTATGAGGTGAGGTTAATAATATTTTACTGAATTCTTAAAGTTACTTTTACTTACCTGCCCTTCACATTTGTCTTGCTGTATCATGATTTTTTTTTGTTTCGTTTAAATTTGAAAGAAAAGTTAGGGTTTTTAAAAAACAACAACTATATAATCAGTTTTTAAGTTTATTTCACTAGTCACGGCAATAACCCTGCTGTGGAAGCTTGACTATGTCGGGGGCTGCGTCATGTGAACGTTGCCGTCGCCTTGATTGTCTTTATTCCAGTTTTTCCTTTTTTACTCTTATAACGCTCTCAATTTCTTTTCCACCGGGAAGCTTTCAATATATTGGTAACATTAAAGCACAGCTCAATTGACCCATCACTAGTACGGAGGCCTTCCAATAAGAAAAAAATTATCAGGATATCTGCTAAAAATCAATAATGATAATAATAATATTAATAGAGCCAGATTGTAACTCTTTTCCGACCTTCTGATAATGTTTCCATGTGCATGAAAACAGGTATCAATTACCTATAGTTTTGAATGTCTAGATCAAAACATAAGTAATCTTTTCATCAACAAAGTTTACATCCAATGCGGATAAAATATGCAAGTATGTATGTAAAATGATAAATATTAAATTTCAGATCTATCTAGCAAAGGAGATCGATTTTTTTTCTTAAAGAATTTTAATTATGTGCACTAGACATACATTAGAAATATTATCTAATAAAGTTGAAGCCTAAATGTCCTATAATGAGGCCGGATTCATTCTCTATTTAGCCAGTGCTTTCAGTGCTTTGATCAGAGTTAAAGAGAAAATTCTGGAATAACATTCTGTGTGTGCATGTGATTTATATGCTTACAATACTCAAATTCATGTTCGTTGTATAAAAGGTATTACGAAGTTTTTTTTCCTGAAACGGGTGTCAGATAAACCAAAGTGAACCTTTGAAATAGGACCCATTACACTGATTGACAAAGTAAATTTTCTTAGCCTAGATATCATGATATTTTAACCATTACAAAGTTAATACATAATATTTAATAATTACACGAAAGCTCTCAAATTAACATAGAATATTTGTAAAATTTGTGTATGTCAGTTTCGAACTCCGTACGTTTAGCTAAATTCATCATTGTAATGGAGAAAAAAACATGATTACAACAGTGTAATGCTTTAAATATATTGAAATTGCTTTTGAAAGATTTTTCTCACAAGAACATATGTGAACAACAAGAAATTTAACAAACAAACCCATTATTTGCTTTTAAATTTATGGATTGTTGGTATATTCCGGTTTCGCACTTTCGTTGCTGCCGATACACAAAAAATTCTCCGTTTCGCTTTTTAGTCATCCCGAGAATCATCACGTGACCGTTGTTTTTATTCAGATTTGCAAACTGAGGGTGTTTAAACGCTTTTCCCACAAAATTGGAGAAAATATGTATTTCAAACGACTTGCCAATCCAAAGAACACATATCAATGTATCACTGATTCTGTTTGAATGTCCCTAACTCGCAGGTAACAAAAAAATATCGGTTCGTGAAATTTTACTTTTTTTTGTGACATTCGGCCGTACCTCAGTGGAGTACCTTTAAGAAATATTATGGAAATATTGTATTTATACATGTAAAATGCTCTCTGTAATATAAAATCAAACAAATACCTGTATATAGAAACAAATCATCATATTTGAAATTTCTTAAATAAATGCTTTTAAATATGACATCTTAGCATTCAAGTCTGAATTCAATGTAATATAGTACATATAATATTTTTTTCGTGTAAATACAATTTGTTCGTACTTAAGAAATTAAACAAATACATACTAAATGTCTAAATAAGTACTTTTTAAGGACACAATTACTTCGTATATTAAAACAAGCGTCTTCGTACAAGCTTTTGCTTAAATGCATGTACTTAGTCAAGTATTGCATCAAATGCGAAAATACAAAAATGAAATGAAAGAAAAGCATAATTTTATCTTAATAATAAACTTTTTTTCTGGCTACATTTGACCCGAACAATCATATTTTGAATTAACTTTTTAAAAAATTTACAATGACTAGATTCTAATTCATCTAAACATGTAACAAGACGTGGGTGCTTGAAATTAACAAGGAAAGAAAAATGAAAAATATCTTTAGAATAAAAAAAATGATTCTTCAAAATCTCCTACAAAAAAGGGAAAAGAAAAGAAATCCAGAGCATCTTAAAACGGTTCGATTACGCTAGTTTTCTTCTCGAAGGCGCCAGATTTGACTTCATGTCTTTGTATTGTCAGATACAACGGAACGTAGATCAATACGCGGCGTCTCGGGATAATTCCAGTGAAAAATATCATTTCTAAGCTGCGCTCATTGATAGATTATGTCCTTAAAGATTGTAAAGTTCACTCGTTATATGTTTCACTATCTAATTCATTTCACTGTTTTTATAAGGCATTTAGTCATCCATCACTTTTAGAACCAATTTTACAAGATTGGAGAGTTTTTATATGAAGTATTATCGTTTCTCCATAAATTTGTGAGTTTTTTTTATTCAATCTTTTATTTGAATTCACTCACTCTCAAATAAAGGCAGATCTTAATTTCGCGAGAGAGAAGAAATAGATTAAAGTTCAAAAGAGCAACATTCTACTCGTTTTTAAATAGCAGGATTTTAGAATTAATATGAACACGTGATTAAATACGTCACTATTACGTCATCTAGAATAAAAAAAAATTTAAAAAAAAACTTTGAGAAAAAATCGGCAGATTAATTGAAGCATCTCAATACCGTTTTAGATATAAAAAAAGTATATATAACTTTTAAATTTGTTTTTATTGAAATATTTAGAAGTGAAATAGCCTATATTTATAAATGTTTTCAATAAAGTAAATGTTTCTGATTCTATGTAGATCTAATTACAAAACATGTGTGCTTATTAATGTTAATGAAAAAGATAGCACAATAATGGAAATCCTAAAATAACCTACTTATATTACCAGTACGTTTTACTTAATAACATATTGTCGCAAAATTTCGTCACGATGTATAAATTATTCAGTCATTATTTCGAAAATATTACTTTCGTGTAATAAAAATAAGTTAAATTTTTGTCTACATGTTTTTCTTAAAATTTGCATATCTCATTCTTATCAAATGAAAATGCATGAATATGCATGTTTTTTTTTCTAATTGAATATGCATGTATTCTGATAATAAATATTCATATCTTAAGTTATAGGAGGGTTTGTTTAGAATCGAATCTGCTACAAATTTGATTGAATGATTAAACCTTTTTAGCCTACATTATTTTTGCTCATATTCTTAAGTCTGAATAAAAATGAAAAAGTGAATAATTTAGTCCTCTAAAAATTGAATAAAATTTAGTTACGTAACACACTATTTACAGCTCTTCTCAAAATACTGTTTGTGATTTATGTACATTATTGCTTCCTATCTCATGGAATAAGTAAATAAAAACCAATTAAAAATATTAAAGACTATATTAAACCTGTTCGATTTGAAAAAAGAATATACGTATATGATATTTTAAACATATAGAAATAGAAAAAGCTATTCCAAGACATTGGCAATGCTGTTTTTTTTTAAAACAAAATCATAATATGACGTCTTTGAACTTCAACCTTTTAAGATTGCTTTTACTGCAATATGTGAATGAAATTAAATATTAAATGGAAATAAACCAGTAAATACACGGTATTAAGTTACATTAAAACCTTATTTACACAAGCGTATTTTTAAAGTTTGCTGTGAAAAGTTTTATTTTTGAGCATTATGAGTCTAAGGTACTCTGATATTACACCTTCAAGAAACGGACTATAGCTTTTTTTATCCTGTCCATTTAAATGGATTGGAAATAAAATCAGAGTTGCCACTAGTTCCAATACAGAGATAAACCGTATCCATAGAAACCACGTAGAAAATCGATCTATAGCACGCAACCGTGTTCTAAGGAACGCAGCAATATTTCAAGTATTTGGGAAATAATCAAATCCCAGTATACTTTTAAAATGTAAAGCATTCATTTCTAAATGCAAATATTAAATTCCATTGTTAAAAAAAAAAATAACAAAAAAACATTCAATGAGTAGAAAGGTTTACATTTGCGCAATTTTTGTCGTTTTAGCAGACGACAGGAAACACCAAGATTATTTGCTGTTAAAATAGCTATGTCGCGGTTGTTCAGGAATTCCTAATCCAATAACTTACCAGGGAAAATGTCACCATTTACAAGAAAAGTACATGAGTGTACATGTAAGCCAATTTCTCCGCAATTTACGTTCAGTCTAATATTTCATCTAGTGACGTTGATGCAACAAACAGTCCGGTGAAAATTAATGCAATACAAAATAGATTTACGCCTAAAACTATAAATTTCGCTGAGTATTGGTAAAATTCTTGTTTTCTCAAGTTTTTGATCAGATATGTCAAACTTTTATTATACGAAGCTGGGTTGAATGGCGTATTAGTTTCATATATTCCATTTACCAAGAAACTTTCCCGGCAGCCAATTACTGACAATTCCAAACCTAAAGGGCAAACAGTCTATTTATATCAACAATTGATTTGAAATCAGTAAACCATAATTGTCACGGGCAGTGTCAGCAATTTCAGACATTGTTGTGTTTTGGGCTCTATAATACGATATAAATAGAATAAAATAAACATGTACATATAAAGAATTACCATGGCAATAAACACACGTGCATAATACCGTGAACGCAAAATTACAAAGCAGATGTGAGGTAGAATGGACAACAATGTTTTAAAAAATGATTAACACAGTAAAATTTGATGTTTTCTCAGATTCTTTTACGTTTAATTGAAGTCCACAATTGACAGGATATTTATTTATGTAATGACGCTAAAACGTTCGAATACTTTATTAGATACGTAACACTTCAGTAATGAAAACAACATTATTCCTAATCTTCTGTAATTGAATAATGTAGCAAATGCCTCCCTTAATAAAGAAAAAAAGGAGCCAAATATTCCTGTCTTAGAAACAAACTTTAACAGATTTCTATCTGTAACGTAGTTAAATAGTTACCGTGACCTTGACCTTACAACTGTTGTTGTTTTCCTGCAGAAGAAATCCTGTACTTTTATACGGAATCCAAATAGCGTAGGTCGGAAAGTGCATACAATTCCCGTTTAATTTCTAAACCAATATAAAATGGGTTTTTTTTCCGAGTGCAAATGTCTTTAAATTTCCCAATATCATTCTACGTTTTAATTTACTAGTACTTTACAATTGATGGTTTTTTTTGAAGAGCATTAGTACACTGTATAAACCATTAAGATGTATATAATGTGGCGACAAAAGGTAGAAAATGATATATATACTTAGTCGAATTTCTTAACGCTATTAAATCTGATTCTCGTAAAATTAAACAATGTCTCAACATTGAGACTTAAGATTCTATATGCAAACATTCCATAATTTGCATGTTTGAGTTTAGGTCACATCGGCACTATTAAGGTTAAACGGTGACTCTGTTGCCCTTTCCTGCATTATTTTAGGAACAAGCGGGTACCGGCCGGAGTGAAACATTTTTTAAGTTGAACATTGAGTGACGCGCCCATGACGCCGTGTAACCACTGTTATTGTCAGAGCCTAAAAAAATTGCCCCATTATCCAATCTAGTCAATCGTAATATGACAGTCCATTGCTTTTGTTAAAAGTTATAAAACTATAAAGAACTCATTCTGTTGTCGTTATCAATTTCATTTTTGTACTTAAATACTAAAAAATAAGAACGTTTAGATTTGAACTGAGTGTATATGTATCTATATAATTTAAAGAGGAAAAATATCTCTTCCGTATAGAATTACACAGGAGTTTCACAATGTTGTAACATTACCATTGAATAAAGAGGTTTTAATTGAAAAAATAACATTATTGCACATTAATACATTGGGTGTAAAAGAGATCAGACGTTTGATACGACAAAATGAAACTCCCCAACAATTTCAATTACTGAAAGTGATAATGAGAGTAATATAAAGAGGACCCATTAAAGTACAAATTCATTTACCGATTTCATAGGACAAATATTTCATTACTTTGCAGTTTTATTAATTCTGTTTTTAAAGAAACAAATCGTTTCGTTTTTTTTCTGGTATGCTTTATGGGCACATATTGCATGGCGTAGAGCCAATTTCTTACCAATATTAACCACCAGCTATGCAATAAATCGCATAAAGCCTAGAAAGGCGCTCGTATGCCCCTGTGGCAGCACGTTAGGTTTGAAACAAATTTAAGAGAACTGTCTTATTTATTACAGGAAGTCCTGGATGAGTAATACTGCATTCACTTATGATTCAGGTAATGGCAATTATGAATCAGATAATGATAGTTATGATAAAGGCCGTCTTATGTATGAGTTTAAATCCCGTGAGGATTGCGGGAGGAATAACTTCACATTGTTTATTCTAATAGCATAAGATAAATAGACAGCCTGTATGGGAGCCTTTGAGATAAAGACCACTTTTGTATTCATATATAATACACATTATTATGCAAAATAACCCTGGTCTTGAATTCTTGAGTCCTAAATTTGATGTTTTCAATCTGTAAGAATCTAATCAAGTATTAAACCGACTAGACGGTTATGTAAATATTGAGCAAAAAGCATAATAATTAACAATACAGTATCTTTCACTGTAAATAACTAGTCTCTAAATAAAAGCATTCTAATGCATCTTAAAACGTTCAAACTATTTATTATGTCCCCATAATCAAAGGGTATTTCGATTTTCAGAACATGTTTTGTTTAAAAGCACTTTAAATGAGTACACCTTCAAGATCCGTATTGCCCGGCAATTTCCGTTTTAGTAACGCATATGAACTTGATGCTTCGTCATTTTCCAGTCGTGTTTAGTTTTTTGTATCCAGTAACAACTGAAGTATGCCGAACAAGTCACAAACATGAAGTGCTGTCACGGAAATTGCCGAATGTCATTACGGATCCTTTACATTCAATAAGTGTCACAAAAACTTTCATTATTATGAAATGGATTGAAAAAAGGGGTATCATGATAATAAATGTAAACCAATTGCTAAATCTATGTAATATTTAAAAAAAAACCGATTATCTACATAAGGAAATGTTGGCATTAAATGGACACATACATGCATTTTATTGAATCCAAAATAATCTGCAAATCGGAACAATTTAACAATTTTTTGTCGCTAGAAAAGACTGGAAATCAACAATATGCAGAAAAAACCTCTGGCCATCATTTTGATTTCGGGGTCACAAATGTTATAACATATACACAAACAACTTCCATGAAATAAATACATTCGTCCTCAGTTTAACTTTCAACAAATGAATAAGGTTGATTTGAAAGCGCCACCTGTGTAAACCATTACAGATTCAACTAAGAAAAGATCACCCATGTTACTGAAGAGGTAAGTGCATTATGTGACCGTTTGACGTATCCGGTATCATCCGCTTGTCGTCTGCAACCACATTGTTAATATTCTTCCACAAAACAAATGGACTTTGTTGGTGTATTTACGCTGACCAGTCACGTGATGGAGTTTTTTCAGTCTGGAGTGATAAAAAACAACTCATCATATAACCACATATAATAAAACTGAGAAATAGGGTTATTTTACTTGTACACACAAACACGGCGTCTTCTGTAAAATATTTATATCTCAGAATGGTTTATTTCTGATTTGGAAATCGGAGACGCAAGATAACAGAGTCGCGGCATCACTGACTTTTAGGCGTAATGGGAATACAACTTGGCAGAGTGCCAGTAGATCGAATTCCTAGTCAGTAAGTAGTGTTCCAGGATACAATTGAATAACTGAGCGGCAAGAAATGAAATCAGAGGTCTCAATTACTTCAAAAGACGGTCTGTCATTTGAAAGACCTCCCGGCATTTATCTGCATACATGATCAATGGATTATTTGTTAATCTAAAGCCAGCTAATTTGACACTGTGAGAGGCTGCAGACCTATCCTTTTTGTCAGAAGTGACCAGTTTTTATGTTCAGGCATTATTTATAACACAAATACAAAGAAATGGAAAAAAATTCTAACATTAGCATTCAGAAACCTAAAAAAGAATACATGTTGATTCAAATTTTAACGCAATGTCAGCATTTCTTTTCTAATTTTGCACAGAAGGTCGACCCAGTGCATCATCATTGATCTTCTAGATGACAAAACATTACTTGATAACCTTTCGCTTTATTTTATGATCCAGTTTTCTTTTATGACTTGTTTGTATCATGGGCCATTTTCAATGATATCGAACGAGATCTTAAATTAATCTCGGAACCACAAGAGGACAATGATGGCCCTGGGTGGTTCACCGGAGATTCATCGCTTTGCTTCAAAGTTATTGAAATATTTATTTCATTATTATTATTACTTATCAGAGGACAAATCAAATTTGCTCGGCAGTTTTCATTCAAGTTTTTCTCTCAGTACCCTTTGATGTAGGGGATATTCTGTAATAATCTAAGTACTGATTTTAAAAATAGATCTAATAATAATTATGATTGAGACTGTACATTTGAACTTTTTCTTCTTTTTATTCTCTGTTCAAGTTTATTCTGAATGATTCTATGAATAGTTTATGACTTTAAAATTTTTCGGAATTACACTACGTTATTTTTTTACAACGTTAATTTCAAATATCAGATTTCCAAAGAAATCTCCTAAACTAATTAATGACAAAATGTTCATAAATTGGTTGTTGTTTCCCTGCCTAATTTCGAAAAATATTTTTCTCTCTCTTGGCTATTTTTACTGTATATGTAGTAAAATAGACCGCATTTTGATTATTGTCATATCCCCCGCAAAACAAGCAAGGAATAGTTTTGTTTGTTACTTAAAATTCATAAATAAAATAACGGCCATACACCCTGTCACATGTCATGTGATTTTTATGGCATGTTTAGGATTGAGTAAGCATTAAAAGGTGTCTTACAGCTCATTCTGACAGTGATATTACTTCTGTATGTACAGATGTATTAAATTTCCTATTTGATAAAAGTATCAGCCTAAAAGAAATAACAAAATGTCAAAAATAGTTAATTAAAGAAATCTGATTTATATTTTAATGAAATGCCACCAAGCAAAATGTTCACAAGCAGACGACATTATGTCGTAAAAGTGTTTTTACCATTTTAGATTTGGAAGTAAAAATAAGTATTCGTTTCCCTCGCATTCGTACTTTTTAAATAACATTTTCATTGATCTCTACGTTTAAAAATACATCTTACATTTTCTTTTATAAATGTTTACAGATTCAAAAGATCTTTATATTGCCGATGATCGGCCATGAACTTTTCGGTAACCAAGCGATGTTAAATAAATTAAAGCCAGTCTGGTATTGATTTCCCCCTCCAGTTTTATGCTTCAAAAGAATCGTTTTAAAGATCTGATAAACGCAATCTTAAGAAGAATTTAGATGTTAGTACTACCGATTACCGTCACGCCAACCCTGAAGAAAAAAACACGAGCAGTCGTAGGTATTGGTCTTGCATTAAATAGGAGGGGTGTTCAAAAAATAACACATACTTTTGTTATAAATATCTCACTTGTGAACATAGTTATTAATTAAAACATACCATTTTGTTTCGGAAATTTGTATGTAATCAAAGAATTTGATTTTTTGTAAATGACCTCAACCTATCTCCACTGAAAATGCATTTAACGTTCGATTCCTTATTATATGGTTTGGAATGCCTTCTAGATTTTATTTTTCAAGAAGGTCGTAAAAACATTAAAAATAAATAGCTGCAAAGTAACAGTGGTCCGGATTTTAAGGGTTTGTTTGACTTAGAACCTGTGGCCATAGGTAGACTAACCCAACCACTGAATTCTCTTAACAGAAAGGGGAAAAACAAAACTGCTTGAGAAAAGCAAAATTTAGGCATTGTCATTCTCATGTAAAATTCGTGTAATTCGTGTTCAATAAATTAATATGAATGTATACAAAAAGATCAGCAAGCACCATGAAGTTTGAACAATAAATAATTAACTAATTTTGATGAATTGAATTCATTCTATTCCGTATTCACATTTGTTTGCCATTTTTATACGCTTGTAACATTGACCTTGACCTTTCTGGCAGCTTCAGAATCTACCTATGCCGCCAGTGCAGACAAAGACCAGACGGCCTGTCCGTGCTGACTTATTATTGTCAGCATGGTTTGCTATCTAGTCAGTCCATACTGAAAATGACGAATGGTCTTTTCCAACAAATGTGCCGCGTCACGACAAAACCAACGTAATGCGTTTGCGACCACCATGCTGTTCGCTATCAGTTTTGCTACTTGTAATAGGGTTGGTAAGCGAACAGCATGGATGATTCAAACGCACTATGTTGGTTTTGTTGTGACGCGGCTCAAATGCATTCAAAATACCAATGGGACTCCACTGAGGTTTTATGACAAGAAGAACATGTAATTGGAAATATATTTTTGTGAGACTTGTGCATCATTTGATCAGGACTCATAACTTGTGTGCAAAAATTTAGATCATAATGATTTCTTCAATCTGTTTACCGTGGATCATCTTTATTGCACAAAATGACCCACATATGAAAAGCCTTGCAAAAGCGGGATAATGATAGTATTAAGCATAAGTATATTTCTTAATTATCTTTTGCAGATTTGTTCATATTAATTGTATCACTTGATTTATGTTAGAATTTTAAATTTTATGTATTTAGACTTCTGGACCGCAGTGGAGCTGCTTTAAGTGTTATATGGATTAATATTGATAAAAGTAGTGCATACCTAATGAATAAAGTATTCATCCGCTCGCTCCTGGTGATGGAATGGTCGGAGTTGTGTCACACGATGGTGTACGCTGGATTCGCTGCATTAACTGTTCTAAAGGAATCACTCTATTGCTAGATCTATTACTATAATCACTACCACAGTCAAAATTTGAATCAAAAGTTGAATGATCGCTGCTATCCCTTGTTTGTCTAACGTCCATGTTGTCTGGAGAAAATTGTGACGATGACGATGAGATATGGAAGCCGTTATTAGGTTCATGATCCTCCGAGGGCGTTTGGTCACGTGACAGAGACAAAAAATAGTTCTCATCATTTTCGAGATTGTCAGAGGGACTTGTGTCGGTTTGCCACGTTATAATACCATGGATATCAGAGTTTTGCCAAATGTTTGCCTTGCTTGGGTTAAACGCACTTAGAGCTACACTATCACTGAAAAGAATTTCTTCCTCTGATTTGTCAAATGTATTTAATTGACTCTCGTCCGTGTAGGAATCACAAGATGGCTGCTTCTTTGGTAGAGGCTGCTGAGCTAGGTTCGATTGGTGCATATTGTTCTCAAAGTTACCCGTTTTTACATTTTCATCGAATATGTTATTGTTCTTAATTGCATTAGGAGAGATTGTTTGATCAGCAGTCGTGTTAATATTATCATTGATACCTATAAATGTCTGAACGCCATTGTTACTACTGTCGAACGACTTCGACTCCCCTTTGTTAATACCGTAGAAGACGTTTTTCCTATTTGAGGCCAGAAGGTTTTCCGATTCATCCTTATGTTGAATGTCTTTTTTGAGAATAGATTTACGTTTCGGTGGGGGAATGTTCACAAGTGAAGGGGTGGAGCGACGGGTTGGTGAGCTATGGAGAGAATCGTTACCGTCTAACAGGTGATGGGCACTGTCGAACAGTCCTCCTAAACAAATAGAAATATGAACAATGCTTTATATAGACAAAAAGAATGATTTGTTTTTGTATATATCTCTTTGTATCTACAAAAATGATTAAACACATGATGAAAAACGATGAGTGTTACAATATGCAGACACGTTTTCTACTTTCTGATAACACTATTTTTTCCTATTATTTGCAATAAATACAGTTCATTGACATTGGGTACGTTTTTATCAAATGACGTCAATCGGATATTCTGTGAAATAAAAATGTTTATTGAGAAAAATATTAAGTGCAAATAAATGATAACATGATAATCAGCTTTTACAAGCATTTTAAATGTTCCATCCCTCAGCAATAAATAAAGAGCACTCGATCACAGAACGTTTTGTAGCATATACAATTAAACCCCCAAAGGTCGTTCTAAATTGCTGTATTTGCGAAAAGTTGATTGCGTCATCACCTTTCAAAGTAAGCATTTACTTAACCGGCAAAAGCGATCTTTATTTAACCGACAACAGTAAGGTTTTTTAACCGACAATTGTAATCTTTACTTAACCGACAATAGTGATTTTACTTAAGCCGACAATAGCGTGTTTTACATAACCGACAATAGTACGAAATAAGCTGTGATTAACTTAAATTAACCGACAATAGTTAACATTATTTAACCAACAATAGTAAGCACTATTTAATGCACAACAGTGGGCGTTAATTAACCGAAAATACTGAGCTTGACTGAACCAAAAATACACATACAGTTATGTAAGAAAAGCTGAAGTTTTTTTTTAAAAAGAAATTTATGACGTCATTGTTTTCATAAAAGGAAAATTGATGCACATATCTAAGTAAGTTTTTATTTCAGTCAAAGAAATATATTTGGAAATTCTGGAAATAAAACCACACTTTAAACGAGGATTTGTGTTTTCTTAACCGATATTACTAAAATGTAATTTTCCCAAATGTCTAAGTTGATAGAAAATCTATAAACAGAAAGCAAACGTTTGTCGATCCACAATTCAGAATGCCAAAGCATCAAATATTGACGTTAGTTATTCGCCCTCAAATTGTAACGCAAAAACATAATGTTACATGATACAAAATGCAACGAAAGGAGAAAAAAGTAACTGCGTTTTGTTTGTTCGACTGTTAAGGTATTAGGACCCTAATGGGCACTATCAGGAACTAAAGAAATAACATCATAGGTCAGATGTATACCTTAAAGTACGCCTGTATGCAAAATTTAAACAAAGTTTACCGTACGGAAATCAAGTTATGGCCACTTTTCTTCATAATATCTGTCATATGTTGCGGTTCGGACCGGAATATCCGCCCCGAGGGGACCCGCCCATTGGGCGGTAACGAGGCTTGCCGAGTTACCGCCCATGGGCGGGTTCCCGAGGGACGGATATTCCGATCCTAACCGCAAACATATGAAAGATATATTTTCTTGCATATTCTGCCATATTATTTCATATTTAAAATGGTTTACCTCAATATGATATATGTTCATGGAAATTAAAGTCATTTCATCCATAACTATTTTCTTACAATAGCGTATGAACTTACAACTTAAATAACAACGGCGAAATGACGTCATCCTAAGACATATTTCCCTTCTAAAACGACGTCATTTTAACGCGGTTCATTCATAAATGGCGCTAAAATGACGTTGTTGTTTGGCACGCGACTCATCTGGCACCCCCCATGCCAGATGAAATTTCCGGCATGGGTAAAACTTACGGAAACGCCAGTCTGCTATGCAAGAAAAACTCAAGCTAGGATGTTATGAGGGCCCTTTTTTTAGAAATGAGGAACCTTTAAATAATCTGCAATAACATTCTAATGAAAAATGTTTTCCCATGAATTTTTGGTAAGAAACAAATAGTACCATTCAGCTAACAATCCACATAAGCAAAATTATGGTTTCTACTTAAAATTTATGAAATCTGTATAAAAATGTTACCCTACCCCACCCATTTTTACCACATGTCTGACCATTTTTCTACTAAGGGAGCCTAATTCAAAAAATTCTTAAAATTTACCCAAATGAGTGCCTGTTTTCAAAGTTTCACTATATTTTTTAAAAAGTATATTGGTTGATCTTGTAAAATATGAAATACTTTTACCGTCTAGTTTTGATTATATTACACTTTTAAAATATCAGGTACCATATTTATTACTAAATTTAGCATAATTTAGCCAATAAACACTTTTTTCTTTCCATATGGGACATGAGAGATACATAAATAATGTTAAAAGAAAAAAAGTTGACCCTTCTGGGGATTGAGCCCATGGCCCTCATTTTCAATGTAGTTAACAGTAATTCTTGCCTATTTGAATACTCTTCAACGCGGAGGTAATGCATTAGGGTGCTAATACCTTAAGCGCCGCTTTCAACATATTTTAGGTCATTTGTCGACGGACGGTCCACCCAACAGGCTTTCCTGAATAACTAACCAGTATTTACCAATTTCTCCGCACGTGACCGACTACTAATCCAATATTATTTCTCAATCACCAGTTTTAAACGGATTTCGCAAAGCCCGAGGATCATCCCGAGTGAATGTTTTATTTATTCCTCGTACTTTTGTACCGGCAGCAAGGGTTTTATGAAACGTGTCGCAGACGTTGTTTTTCTCGTACCTTGAAAATGAGCTTATTATATAAATAGATTCGATACTCATTTCTAGATCGCACGTGCTACTTTATATAGATCTAAACCACACTGTCGTCAGAAGTGCACGAATCTTTGTCTTATTTAAATATAAATTGCTTCTGGTAACCGAATCTCATTAGCATGGCGCCATAGATGATGTAACAATTTATGCAAGATGCGAAAAATGAGATTTAAGTATCGTTGTTTTGGATTATTGCCAATATATTCATGCTTAATTGAATTCTTTGAAGATTTAAAACATAAAGATGTTTGAATTAACAAAACTTTAACATTTAACATAAAGCGTTATTGTATTGTTATTCAATAGAAAAAGCGTTCAGAAAACTAGGAACCCTTCAATCAAATGAGGCAAACGCTTATAAATTAGATATTAACAAATGGTAACGACCGTGGTAATTGGCGGTAATTCTTATATATAAAAAAGTTCAATTTTTCGTGCCTATCTTCCCCATACTAATTACATCAAAGATAATTTTCTGAAATTCACTTGGAAAATAATTGTATAAGTACATCAAGGTATGATTTCAAAACGAAAACTCTGTACAAAGCTTTTGTCGATGGAAAAATAACAAAAGTATAAAATCATATAGACATTAATTTATCGGAGAAAAGTCGTACCTGCTTTAAACCTATCTATACATGTACTCTAAACAGATCAATCATTTTGTTATATATTTTATCAATTATACCTATTCGTTTATTTATTGAGGACAATCATTTCAAATAAGTAAGAAAGCTGACATGTGTAACTAGAACTTATTTTTATATCGAAATTTTCGGTTGTGATGAAAAATGAAATGTATGAATTTGCATAAATATAGGTGATAATCAAATACGATTTCAAGAGTTAAATTTGTAGTTTTCACAGTCAGTCCTGTTTTCACTTTAACAGAAAATGATACAGAGGTTCAACTAAGAAATTTTCTTAATTTTTTGTACTTCATAAAAATGATTCTGATATTTATAAATATATTTTATCCTGAAATTATTCACATAGTTTTGTTGCGGTGTAAAATTAAAAAAATGTCTGAATGATATTATCAATAGTCAATCTCAAATCGGACTTAAGTAACATATGACGGTGACATATGACGTCATTTTCTGACGTCATTTACGCACAGGACTGACTGTAATCAAACAGGCACGAGTTTCCTTGATTGGCCAGGAGGTAAGTCGCTGGTGTGACCACAGAGGGCGCAACACAAAAATATGCATTCCAAAAATGTTTTATTTACACAACAGACTAATCGTCTTATATTTACCTTTAAATAGTAGGGTACATGTAAAGCAAGAAACTTGAAAGCGGACAATAAGCGTTTGGAGAGCATAACACTGTTCGTTAACTTAAAAGGACATAATACGTTCTTGCCATTCTTGCTGAAACTGTCTTTTTCTCTCTTTTTTTGCATAAATTTTAAATTATATACATAACAATACATATGATTTGTATTTAAATGTTTGGAATTGATACTGTACAAACAACTTGAAACCTATAAATCCTAGAAAGGGAAACAAGAAGATATGTTTTGTTAGGCACTCGAATATTTGTTCTCGAATATTCGTTCTCCAACTTTGTGTCAGTAGGTGAGGATTAATACAAATAGTAAAGGACAAATTACTAAAGTAAGTCAAATTCATAGCTATTAATACTATTTATCGACAACACTATACGTGATAGAAGAAAGCAGTATTTACTAGCTTATTTTATTTTTACTGTAAGTAAATGTGAAATGAATATATACTGGTTAAAATTATTCGACTCTGTATGTATAAAAGAATGCGTTTGTCTCAACTGAAATGGCCTAAATGAATGAAAGAATAAAAATAGTGGCTTTTATATCCATAGGAGATAATAATATTTGCTGTTGCATGTAAAACAATTACGTCATTTGGCTAGTTTCGAATTATATTTATATAAATGTCAAAGATATGTTTAACTCAATTTCTCTTGCTCAACACGTTAGCAACAGTATACTAGTTTCAATTTGCACTTATTTAGAATTTTGCTGTCTCTTTCAATGTGTTTCTGAATATATACAATATATATAGACTGAATATATACAATACATATATATATATAGAGAGAGAGAGCTTGTAAGATGTTTTACAATTCCTGAAGAAAATAGCGCTGAACTCACGTGAAGTACTGGTAGCAAATCGTAAATAAAATAGTATTGTGTCTTCTATACAAAATACAAATTCACTATAATTATACTAATTGCCAATAGAGCTAAGAAAGCAAAAGTTCATTTATGTTGCAACAAGCTTTTCTTTTAAAACTGTAACAAGATACCAAAAATAATTTTCTTTAGAAATAAAAATGATAGCATAGAAAGAAATATTTGTAGCTTCATGTAGGAGGTCAACAATTATAGCAAGGTACCAGTGCACAGTATGAGTATATCTATAAATCGTCAACATTTGCTTGTTTCAAGTTGTATGTACAGCAGTTTCCGAAACGTTAGCTATTTTCAAGCTAAATTTATAAATATGTTTATATATATACAAATAAATTGCTAGATCGGCAAAGCATGTTTAGTTTCAGCAAGCCTGGCAAACTGAGAGGGTCACACCAATCACTTAGCAACCTGAATAAATCCATCATATCATGACTATAGACCACCCTGTGAATCAGCTCAGCAAAAACTTTTCATCTGCAAAAAACAACATAACAATATAAAAGTACAACACCGAGAAGTGGATTTATAAATCAATTGTTATGGTAACATTTTGTATGAGTTCCAATTACAAAAGTCTGTTAGTCCCGCTGTTTGCTTATTACATGTATCTATCAAACGATTATCATTATGTTTTTTCAGACACAGGACACTGATGGTTTTAGTAAAGTATATCATTTTTGTAAAATTCTAAAAGTACGCTTATCTGTACGCTGTGAAAGGCCTTCTGTTTCTCACATTACAAACATATCATTTCAATGTTAGTTTAACTTTTCAATTATATAATTTGCAATAGTTTGCAGGTAATATTTTCTGTTATAGGTTGACGAATAAACCAAAAAGACTAAAAATCGTTCTTTAATAAACGTTTAAGAAAAAGTAAGCTTTTTTGTAATCTTTATTCTCGTTTAATTTCGACATAATGTTTCCAGGTTGTTTAGAGCGATCGAGTTAAGGTGATATTGCAGTATGAAAGCAATTGCACCCCCGTAATTAAAGTAATAAAACAATTTTAACTTCTTAGGGGTTCTGAAATTGCTTCTCTCTAATTCAACATTATTTGTAAAAAGAAGACACACAATTGTATCGAGAATCAATCCGATTCTACAGAGCTCTGCATCATTGATACTTTGGCAAACACATTTGAGCCGCGTCACGACAAAACCAACATAATGGGTTTGCGACCAGCATGGATCCAGACCAGCCTGCGCCTCCGCGCAGTCTGATCAGGATCCATGCTGTTCGCTTACCAACTCTATTACAAGTAGAGAAACTGATAGCGAACAACATGGATCCTGATCTGACTGCGCGGATGCGCAGGCTGGTCTGGATCCGTGCTGGTCGCAAACCCATTATGTTGGTTTTGTCGTGACACGGCTGATTTATCAGTTTAGTAAAGAAAAGCAAATTTCTCCATGGCAACATAACATACAAAATGCACCAAAAGCGAACAAATACCCTTAAAAACGATCACTATTCGATCAAGCAAAAGATTTTCATCACGTTTAAAATATAACAAAAATGTATTGGAAGAATAAAAGTTTTTAAAACAAACTACCAAAGGTGACATCATGCCTTTAAAACATGCTTTGAAAGCTCAAAAAACAAACAGGTTTCACATAGATATGAACATTTTCTAAATGTATTTGAAACTTTTCTTGTAGATGTTTTACATTGTACAAGATGAAAATCTTTTTCTCTGAAAATACTAAATTCTATTAGTGTTAGTTAAAATTAGTGAAAAAGGAAAGATGCATACCTGACTTCGGGTTAATTATAAGATGGTAGTTCGCAAGCTTGCGACCTGTGGAAGGACTTCCATGAAGTTTACTTGCAAGGGACACGGCCTTTTGAAATTTTAATTTCGATTTCGGAATAGCTTGCATATCACGAATATTGTCAGTGGACGAGAATGTTCGCTCCATTACATCTCCAAAATGAAGATGTCTTTCGTGTGAGGTTTCAGACCGGTGTCTTTTCAAACTTCCACCTCTCTCACTCGTCTGAGCTTTTATTGTTACAGCATGGACGTTGTCATGGCAACGTCCTTCACCCTGTAACGGAGGCTGAGAGTTAAAACGCTGCCATTTTGCCCTTCTACTTAAATCCACATTGTGGATAGTTTCCTTTGAAAAAACATCGTCCGAGTCACATTTATCATTTTCACATTGTTTAAATGTTTTATTATCTAAATCAAAAACTTTAATGGAAGCACTTTTATTATTTGCACTTGCAAGATTACTTGATGGCAAACTAGTAAAACTATGAGATTCTCCAAGCGGATTTACATAGATATTATTTTTTAACGGAGTATCCAAAACTGAATTATGCAAGTTATGTCCCTTTACACTTGGGCTTGTGGGTAGATGAGTCATGCAAGAGGTGTAGGTGTCGCTACTGCTCGTGGTACTATATTGTCGTGCAAGTGCCTTCAGTTCTATGCATGGTTTTTCCGTGACACCGTACGGCGTGGCTTGGGTACAACTCTGGCCCTGTGTATATATATATCAAACGTGCTAATTGTTTATATAATAACATGCGCAGTGCATTTTAGTAGGACTGCATTAAAGTCTTGTGAGTTTTTGTTTTTTGCTTTTTGCTTTTTTTGACAGTCGGACAGTTTTAAGTGCATGATTCAAAATCACTAATGAACAATGAATTCTTGGTAAATTTGAAAATGTCTATGCAAATTAGGTCACGTGGTAAACACACATTTGAAAGATGAGCAAGTAGTCATAACTCCCCTTCCTGCTCTACCTGAAATTGATAAATGGGGAACTCCTTTAAAATGGCCCATTGAATTCAGGCCATGGTGTAAACCCTTATTAATAAGACTTGGGAAATCAATTTAGAAATTTGAATCAGGATATGAAGTATTTAAGACAAAATCCACTGTCATTCTTAATTGATAGATCCTGTCATTCATAATTAAAAGATGTGAAGTTTGTGCCACAAACATGCATAATTAGTTTCTATTAATGCAGGATATAAATATGAATTATAATAACATAGCAACTGAATAAATCACATTTCAAAATTGGTACATTATTGATGCTTCATAACATAAACTCTTCAACAATTTTAAGAACATCAAGAACCAAGGTTTAAAAATCGTGACGACAATGATAAAACTGACAGCATTCGTTATTGTATAATGAAGTTCTTTTACTGAAGGAGGGTTATGTATATAACTGCGATACGAGATCCTAATTATGTCACTATTTTCTTGTTGGTTCTTGATTTATGAATAATATGAATTGATAAATAGGTTTAGTAAGGTCCATTCTTTACGCTCAAACATCTTGCAATATGTGTGTTAATTTAGCAATAATTTTAAAGCATAGCGTGTAAAGAAATGTATAACTTTAATCATGCGTCAGGCTAAATATGTTTACAAAACATGCCGGTACATGACATATAACTTTACCTGTATGTTTGCATTCAGTTCCGGTTGCGATGACGTCATTCTCCGTAGGGATTCCTCGTCGGCGTCCATTAGGTTGGTCGCACTTGGATTTGACAACCCTGGAAGGCTCTTTGACTCGCAGCTTTCGTTACCGGAACCATTCTTATTTCCCTCATTATTGACCTTCATCACACACATTGGAGGACTAGCGTTCTTGCTGTCAATGCTACCCTCGTCATTTGTGCCTCTTTGGCTACCAATATTGACCTCCATAAGGTCAACACTTCTGGCAAATGCATCACGGAGGTTAATAGAATGAAATGAAACAATACTTCCAGTTCGTTTAGCGCGTTCTAATGCGTCACGTCGCTTTAACGCTTTTTCTCGACGCATTTGATCCTTATAAAACTCCGCAAAATTATTTACAATAATTGGAATAGGTAACGCTATAACAAGCACCCCGCATATACAACACACACTACCAACTATCTTGCCAATGACGGTCGTCGGGTATATATCTCCGTATCCGACCGTAGTCATGGTAATTGCCGCCCACCAAAATGTCTCTGGAATACTGGTAAACTTAGTTCCACCTTCATCTTTTTCAGCGAAATAGGCGAGACTTGAGAACAACAATATTGTGATCGCTAAAAACATCAGCAATAAGCCCAATTCTTTATAGCTACGTTGCAAAGTATAACCCAACGACTGAAGACCGGTAGAATGTCTTGCTAATTTCAATATCCTAAGTATTCTCATTATTCTAAATATCTGAACCACCCTACGAACATTTTGGAACTGGGCAGTCGTGTTCTCGTTTGTTTCAGTCAAACCAAGTGAAATAAAATATGGTAAAATTGCTAGAAGGTCAATTATATTTAAAGGAGCTTTAAAGAATTTCCATTTATTAGGTGACGCCCAAAATCTTGCTAAATATTCTAATGTGAACCAACCAATACAAACTGCCTCAACTATTGCTAAATCTGGATTGTCATTTGATGTGTCCCTTTTAGTAGTTTTTTGAGTAGGAGAATCGTTATCAGCATCCGTAGTTTGCTGTGGCACAACTTTTGTTTCTTGGAATTGCGGCATAGTATTTAAAGTCAATGCAATGGTAGATAACACGATAAATAGAATGGAAACAATGGCCACAACCTGAAAATGAAGCGAATGGTTGCAATTTTGTTTTTTTAAAAACAAGCTTCAGAGACCAAATGTTTCCCTTATTTTACCTCAAGATTTAGTTTGTTAGTTATTATTGGTGATTTTAATGTATAAATAATTGCTACATTAAGCCACTTGTAAATGAGTACTATTTAGCTTCCAAGGCAAATGTTTCGAAATCTTAACTTTGTTTTGAATATGATTTTCCATATTTAGCCACTGTGTAATATTCCCCCTCGAGGGACTAGAGAAGGGACAGAGGAGTACGACAATTGCAGCCACAACCAACAAGATGTATACCACAGTGCCGAACAATATATAGGCAATCATCCACATGGAAACATACTTGTACAATGTTATACACAGAGTAATTTATACAAATACCAGGGGTATGGGATACATTCACAACATTGTTATCACAGTTACTATAATAACAACAATAACTGATAAAAAATTCTTTTTTTTTCAGTATTTTGTTACAGAGGAAGGTTTTGATTCAACAATTTCATTCAGGTTTAGCCACACACTAATAATATGTTCAACATTTACGAGCTAATTGTATACAGAAATGATATATTAAAGACAAAGGCCAATTGAAAACCATTGCAATATGAACCACGTCGTGAACAAAGAAGTCAAAAGTCGGAGGACCATTGGAAGTTCAGCGGAGGGAGTCATATATCAAACCACCATGAAAGACACTGAGCAGAGTAGTGAGTAATAGTGTGTTGTATATAGCTAGAATAGAACTGTTAAAGCGCAGATATTCTCATACCCCCCAACCCCTGTTAGAATATATACAAAAGAAAATTATAATTGTATTACTTTTTCCTTTCATGTATGTACATGGTGCAGTCCTTATTCAAATGTTTGATTTTTATGGAATTTAATATTAATTATGTTATTCGTAATAGTAATCAAATGATATTAAAACGATTTATAGTCAAAATGCTTGCCCTGTTCGCTTGGACTGTCTATATTTATAAAGATAGCATTTAATTCGATTCATGTAGTAAAAAATTAAACTGGTCATCTATTCATTTAGTTAATAATTCATTTAAGAAAAAGCAATGAAATTCTAATTTATTAACAAATTTATTTCCAATTATTATTCTCTATTTAATGCCTAAATGTAATTGATAATTATTGATACTATGTTATAAAATGCAGGATACAATATCAATAAAAATTTCAAATTTATCTATGATAAATAAAAGATTGTTTGTCTTTGTTTAATGGAAATTGTATATGAAAATAGACCGCTAAAGAAACAACTGCCATAAGATTAACAGAAAGATTCCAATGTGCTCTTTTCAACACATTGACGATAAAATTACCAAATAGTGCATCAAAAAGCATCACAGTAAATAACCACACTCAAACTTGGAATCTTTCAGTAAGGGTACATGCTTTTAATAGGGAAAATGACATATTCAAAACTATCGATAAAAAGTTCATAACTTTAACAAATGTAATTTAAGAGAAAGTAATGTTTCTTGTGGAAGCTTATTTTTTATTCTGAATATTTTTTGAATTGTGTTCTGAACTATTATAGTTTCTTTACTAGAAAGGTATTAGCAAAGGAGCGTGAATACTTCGAGTTTTCTTAATATGTTTTAATAACTATTTCTTAAAAAATTACACCAAATGTTATGAAACTTCACTTCTGTACCGAAGATTTGTTTACAAAAATATCTAAAATTTTTAAAAAATAAAAAAAGTATCAAAGCAGTTTGTCGAGTTTTAATTTAGATTAGACAATATAACAACACCCCAGGTACAGGATTACAATAGGATAAGGCTGCTAATTGGAAATTCTGCTTTAGGAGATCAATCAATATTTATGTTCATGTAGTACTTATTTGAAACATTTTTTGTTCCACATAATATTTACCAGATGTTAACTCTTTTTGTTTCCTTCAGAAATTACATTGATGTCCTCAATAAAGAATGACAAACATTCAATGTATATAAACTATTATTTGAATTGCTTGTTAATGAATATGTTTTGTAATTGTTTAAAGAACCTTCAATTGCTCCATTATACAAAAATTACTTCAATTTTCATTGACAAAAAATAAGGGAAAGGAAAAGAACTATAATAACAACATGTATGTAAAAATAATAATTAATCTCCTTTAGAAGCAGAATGGTATATAAAAAATAAGCGTTCTTACAGGTAAATTGAAACTACTGAAGACTGCACATAAGTAACACATGAAAGAAAATCTTGAAGTATCAAATTCTTTTGCATATATTCTTTAACTTAAACATTAAGCATGGCGGAATTTACAGTTGTCGCAGAAAGTCTGTCCTGAAAGTTAAGACAATTTTAAAAGAATGGAGAGAGAGAAAAAAGTGTAAAAAGACAAATTTCTAAATTTTCTAGAATAAAGTACCTATCTGAAAGAAGGGCTTAATTTAAGGAAGAACAAAACATGCTGAAAAACTAATATCATGCCGGGGATTGGAATTCTAATCGATTTCTTAACTATAAAAACTACAAATACTATAGAAAAAAGAATAAGATATCTTTGATAGTACTCAATAGATGTTATCCGGAACTCGGTAATGTGCGTTTTTCTCATCTAATTCCGGGGTACAAACACATTTTTACCGTTATATTGTGTCACAGTGCTTTACAGTAACAATAGAGTGATCAACGCGTTGCGCTAATAATCAATACGAGGGATGATCAAAAATAAACCGGACTGTGACTGTCAATTGAAAATTTTTCAACCTATCAATTATTGTTATATATCACACTTAATCGGAAAACAATACCTGTAAACTGATACTATATCTTATCTGATAATGCAAATAGCTTGTCCGTAACATCAAATTCAAAAACCATGGTAACGCACACCCGGCGCAGTGCGTAAATTCGCCTTGACAGCAGGCGCTTTAAGCTGCGTATATTTAACAATATGGCACATTTAGATTTCAAAATACGCCAAAACGTCATGAACCATATCTTTGACGTTGTCAGAAAAATTAACTTCATTTAAACCATATTTATATTTGCAATCACAATTCAAACGTCACATGCTAATGAAATACTCCCGTTAAAACAATGTCGTCGGAATGTCTCGAAAATCGATCAATAAGAAAAAATGTCAAAAGAAAGACAAGAAACTGTTTAAAACGTAGAAAAAGATTACGGCTATCAAGGGAAAAGTTCCAGAAAGCCACAGCATATTTTTATTAGCATAAAGAATTAAGAAAGGATAATAGAGAAATAGAAAACAAGTAAGGGAGGGACAGAAAAAAGAAATTTTCCAGGACGTTGGTGACGTCAATCGCCAAGACGTTGAGAAATGACAGCCTATTGACTGCGGACATTGTCAACGATGTTCGACAGTAGCTACGGTACGGTGCAGTCAACTCTAAGCATTTTAAAATGATAATAGTCAATGCATTAATTACATATATTGTATTCTTGGTTTACAATTGTATCAATTATTTTCTTATTTTACGCAGTAGTTTTATGGAGAAATTGTGTCAACAATTAGACAGTCACTGTTCAAAATCAGCTAGGCGTTTTATTTATTTTAAAATAATGACAATTTTGTTCATAGTTGTTTTACTCTTTTATTTTTTCTTATGTATGATACATTATCATTCAGCAACATTATTTAACATTATTTGTAATACATAATATGGTTTATTGCATGTGCGTTTTTTCCAACAATCAAGTTAACAGAAGGAAAGAATGGAAATTTGCGTCATTACAGGAGTTCTTTATCATCATTCATTATTTTACAATACAATATGATACCCACTTGTACAGAAATATATATAGGCAGTGGATCCGCCGCATCAACAACATGACTGTTCCACGTATTTGCCTACTCCGTGAATGAGTAAAATGCTGCTCCGTTAAGATAAATACGCTTGTGACGTCGTTAACGTCAATTTCAAAGTTATACCGTGCGCCGCATTGCTTTACATATACATGCCAATAACAGCATAACTTTTTTCTTTGTTTATATTTCTTGTTGGTATTTTTTGTATCATTCAGGGGATAGATTCCGATTTATTTTCTGTGTATTTTTATGTAAATTCATTTAAAAGGTAAAGAATCATTTACAAAGTCCGGTTAATTTTTGATCATCCCTCGTATTTTTACCCCAAAATATAGAGAAAAACAGAATCCCTAAGAAAGCCCAACACGGCAAATTGAAAATGTTGCAGGCTCGGTTGCAGGTGTCAAGTGATGTATGGCAGCCGTACAAATTTGCCCGTATTTCACTTCAGTTTTGTTATATTTTTCTGGTCATTCGGAATCATCAACTCCAGCACTTTTAAGTGCTGAGAATTGAGTACCGCCAAAGCCGGTGCTACAGGACGTGAGGGATGTTGCACTTTTTCAATATTCCTCATGTACAGACTTAATTAAACCGAGTCTGCAATTTTTCATGTAATTTTGCTGTTTTAATGCTTCCGAGGGATCACATTTTTCTCGATATTGATTGAGCCTGTTCATAGACGGTAGTGGAAATTGCAAGCTACCGTCCATGCCCCCTAGTACCGGCTAAAGCAGAATTATTATATACATTAAAAATGAACTGGTAAAATTTTGAATTTTAAACATCCACAGATGTGTTCATATGGCGGTTATCATGGAACCTTCAATGTAACGCATTAGTGCCATTCCATGAAAAGCGGCATATGGTTCCAAAGTAAAAAAAAGTGTTAGCAAGTTGTAACGGTTAAATTTAAGTGTGTCTGTACCCCGTGAATAGGTTGCCGAGTTTCGTAATTATCTCTAATTTTCTGTTGTGTTTTTACATTTAAAACAGATTTCAATCAATGTACCAGTATCAGAAGAATCTAAAGAACGAGCAAGATTTAGTGAGAGAGTTAACACCATGTTGGAGAGGATGTTAATAAGAAAACACGTATAAATAAACTGTGGTATGGTTAATTAGATAGATTATATTTGACAGTGGGTCCGGGAACCTTTCGAGGGATGTGTAAATAGGTGGAAA